TTATGACAAATTATAGGAAAAGTATGTGTAATTTATCCTTTTTTTAAGGCTAAAAATTTTATATTACAAACACAATTCAAGTTCAAGGTCATAGTCTAATTAATAATATAATATGTAGGTTGATATAAAATTTAAATATATATAATTTTTTTTTTTTTTTTTAAAAGTTCAATTGAAGTTGAAAGCACAGTTTCTCTTGAAGCTAAGACAACTATTTTGGTGATCTATTAAATTTTTTTATTTTTTGAGCACGTGTATTGACCTCATAATATACTTACTATTTAAGTTAGAAGTGCGGTATAAAAGCGAGACCTTAAACCAACACCGCTATGTTCACGAGGGTTTGGTGACACACTTAAGACAATTATTTTAATGAACAATTATATTCTTTCTTGTAATTAATATTACAATCTAAACTATATGAATGGACTTTGGATTGCGTACCTCAAATTAATTTATAGTTAAATATGATATATTATGCCCTAGCATCAACTAGGTGGACAGTGCTTTATTAGAAAAGTAGCATTGGTTATTATTGAAGCGTGTGTGTATATTATGTGTAATTATGATGAGCACCTTTATGTTATTATTATTATTATTATTTTCGTAACCTTTATATTATTAGCTTTGTCAATAACTATTAGTAGTTTGACTGTAAAATTATGTTTCATGAATATTTATTCTATGATTCATCCAAGTTGCAAATATATGGATTTATTAATCAGGATCCTTTTGATATGTCAACCATGTGTTGTTTAAATTGACTTGTAACACTTTTAAATCACACACTTCTTTAAATCGTGCAATAACAATGTAAATGTATTAAAACTTTGTTTTAATGAAATTGTAATGTTGTAATACGTTACATGAGTGTTACATCTTCGATGTAAATATATTACATAAGTGGTACCTCGTTGTTGAAGGGGTTGCATCTTGTCTCCAAATCATAAACTTAAATTCTTTTTAGTGCGCTTAATGGTGCGATGCATTTTAAATTGAGAATGCAACGTATTACATCGATGATGCAAATTCGACCATTTACTTTTATGACGCAATACTCATACAACACATTATATCAAATTGTAATATTACAATATCATTAAATGGATGATGAAAAATTAAAGATGCAAACTCATATAACATGTTACATTGAGGCACAATATTACAACCACCCTTAAATGAACCATGCAAAATGAATGATGTAACATCTCTTAATCATTCTTACATCTTTGATTTAATGTTGCTATGCGGTATTGCATTATCAATTTAATTGAATCGAATGATGTATAGAACTCAAAATGTGTATTGGAGTGGATCCTGATTCACAAATGAGGTTCCGCTTGGCATGCGTTTTGTTTCTGCTGTTTTATTTTTGGGCTGCTACAGTGTCGATTTTTGTAACAAAAACATGTTTGGTATGCCCTTATTTTATTTTATACAGTACTAAAACACTTCGTAAACAGTGACCCAAAATCAAAACACCAAAAAGTTATTATTCTTATTATTTTTTTCTTATTTTGACAACTGTTCATGGTTCAAAACCATAACAGTAGCACAACATGACCGACATTTTCACAGCAAAACATAGTTCCCAAACGTGCTTCTGATTTTTTTTCAAAACACTCCTATAGTAAAAACACTATTTTTTAGACAACAATAAAATATTTAAAATAAAGTGTATGTCAAGCAGGCCCTAAATGTCAATTTTTATTATTATTATTTTTATATGAATGTAACGGAAACAAATCTTAGTTGAAAACGATAGATTCCACTACAAATTCATGCATCAAATTAATGGTTGATTGCAAGTCCTAATGCTTTTGTTTTTCTCGGAAATTCTACCATACTTTTTCGTTGTATTGGTTGGTTGGTCACTCTTATGAAACAAATGTGATTTATTGATTGAAATAGAAGTTTAGAAGAAGCAAACAAACTTTTTCTACTTCCCTTTTTAATGAAAATTTGACTTGCTTTAGTACTTGCCATTTGGTGCTTGTAGATTGTTTTACCAAGTTGTCCTTTAAAATGGGGCTACAAAAGCTAGCCCTATTTTGCTGGTGTGTGTGTGTGTGTGTGTGTATTGGGGCATCTAGTGGGTGCTCTGTCTTTTTAGGATACAGATATAATTTTAGGTTAGGATTATTGCAAATATAGCTAGGATAATATAATGTTATTTTATTTATTTTTGATGGGGAGGCTATTATTTTCCTTTCTCTTGATGAATTATAATAATTAGATTATGGTGTAAACTTGCGTGAACGAGTCTCGACTACATTTGTGAGTCACATCACATTATAAGCATCGTGTTTATATATAAAAGACTTAAATAATAATAAAAAATAATGTTATCAAAAGAGTTTTTTCATTATAAGAATCATCAATCTCGACATTTAATTACTATTTTTTTTCCCTTAAAAGCAAATATATTAATTTGTATAGTTGGAAATTACATCCAATAGTCATGAGGGCCAAACATTCTACAGCAAATCATTGGTTTTTTTTTTTTTTTTTTTGATAAGGGCTCATTTGCTAAATTCATGAGGTACCTTGTTACGTTGTCTAAGATGCCCAGACCGATCTAAATCATCTGTGACCCATCATTTAATACGTACATGAATAAATATCGAATGGCTGGAATCGAGTAATATTTTGACAATCACATTCGACATGCACTCTCCCAAATTATCCAAGAGATTTAGACCTTCTCTAAGTACGGAATTTTTTTCAACTTCAATACTAGTCACCGAAGAAACGAAACATAATCAACATTTTGGCAATCACATTTGACATGCACTCTCCCAAATTATCCAAGAGATCTAGACTTTCTTTGAGTACGAAATTTTTTCCAACTTCAACACTAGTCACCAAGGAAATGAAACAAAATCAATACGAAGACAACCGCATGATTAATGAATTAAAAAATATATTAAATGATATGTTTCACATATTTCAAATATATCAATTCAATGATTTAATGCAGAAAAAACTCCGGAAAAGTTGTCTTCGTAGCATTATTTATTTTAAAATCCATTTAGAAATTATAAATTTTGCTCCAGTGAACAAGTTTAGATATAAGTGTTAAATTCCAAACCTACCCTGCTGACAATTTTTTCAACGTCCCCTACTAATGGAGGCCAAACATTTGTGAAAACTATGATCGCTAGTTAAATATTTTCTTATGAAGTAAAAATGTGTCAAATTTGGGAGAAAATGTGAAGCGTAGAATGCACATTCCTTGGAGATGTAGTGTTAGTATATGTCAATTTCCAAGGCCCGAATGGTACGATTCCAATAAATTGAAAATATTAGTGTAATCTTCAAGGCTGGTAAAGTTTGGTGAGAAAACGTTCTTCAAAGTCTTAAGAAAAAGAGAGAGAGAGAATACATATGACATCATCCAGTATATTTGAAAAATAACATAATGTTATGACCTATTTTTTGGACAATGATTTTCTTTGGGCGTAGGATAAGTTCAACACAGAATTCAATAATTAAGATTGCATCATTGTTAATAAGTATTATTTATCAATTCAATTTCAACCATTAAATTTTGTGCTAGATCTCTCCAAGGCTAGAAAGATTCTTATTACCCAATTGATGAATTTAATGCGCATTACCTTAAGCCTTCATAAATTCTTGTATGACTTTTGTCATCCCAAGGTTGTTGCTCTACAATTTCAACTTAATTTCATGGATGAAAAAAGTAACTTATGGAATATTCATGCATTATCATTTGTAATTTATCTTAAAAAATCTTGAAAATTTTAAATTTTAATTTTATGCTGTCATAATTGGAGGGCTCAACGCTACCATTATGTTTATGTGAGAAGCCAAATCATTTTTATTATTAAATAGTCACGAAATTTAAAAGATTGTGGGCATTGTGTTAGTAGGGTATAGACTTCACCACATGATATTATCTTAGCATCGTGTGACGGAGCCGGGGACACACCTCCACTTACATATTCCCTCCAAATCATTATCAAATACATGTGACGGGTGGGGGTACACCTCCATTTATACATCCCATTTGGCATCTTTCAAATTCGAAAAATCTATTATTGCTTTGGTTATGTTTTAAACCATGTTAGCAATAAATGAGTTTTGGATAAATGTTGTTATGAATAAATATAAGCCAATAAAAATGACTACTAATCAAATTTGAAAAAAAAGTAGGTCATATTTTGTAGTCTAAATTTTTTTGGTAAAAGACTACTTTTTTTTTTTTTTTTTTTTTTTTTTTTTTTTTTTAAGTATAAAAATGGGATATTCTAATTAAATTTATATAATAAAAAAGCTACATTTATATTGAGGAAATAAAAAAATAAATTTATACTATAAATTTTACCATATAGTGCAAAAAATATCTGTGAATTATTGCCCTTTTGCAGAACTATAAATTATTCCGGTGAACTATTAATTTGTCGTAATTAAGGACAAACTTATTATAAAAGACTATTTTACCCTTTCTGATTAAATTTGATATTTCTTATTAATTTTTTTTAATAATTTATTTCAATAACAAAAGACATTATACTTATTTAATAAAATATAGTCTAAGAATTAGCACATTTTGCAATAAAATGTGATAATTGATAAGATATTATCATAAAATATATTTCAAGAGAATTGTTTACAAATTCGAAATGAGTTTTTTAAACTTTAACCTAAATTGTAATTACTTGTATGGACAGCTAAGAAAATTTGATGATAACTTACCATTTATATAAAAAAATATATAAAAATTATAGTAGTCGTTTGTAATTAAATGGTTACACAAAAAAATTTACTACTGTATTACTCATAATAAATGCATTTTAAAATCGTGTACCGGTTCTCAACAGCCAACGCCGATCCACGAGAAATTTCGACCTCTCTCTCTAACGTGTGTGGACGATAGTGAGAAAGAGGAGTCGGTTTTAAATCAAAGTCCCTGTTAATTACGATTTTGCCATCAGGTTGTTGCCGTATTTATACCGTCACATATAAACTCATTTTTTACTACTTTTTGTAATCGATCGAAAGCAAACGATCCCTTATTTTAGTAATCCTTGGAAACCCATCACACCTCTCTCTCTCCTCTCTCTTTCTCTCTCTAACTCGAATCTCTCAGTTTCAGAGCTTTCACAGCTCTCTTTCAACACAGCTCGAGACCCTCTTTGTTCCTTCTGTTCCTCTCATTCCCTCAAAACTGAACCCTAAGCTTATAAATCACATCCTATACATAAACACACACATATATACATAAACACACATAGATATACATATAACCGTACACATAGATATATGTATGTGTTTTTTGTGTGTTCTATTTGATACTCTGAATTCGAATTGGTAGATCAAAATGCGGGTGAAGGAAATGCATCCACTGTGTTGTATCTCGCTGGAGAGTCCGGGGATCGGAGACCAGTCGCCGGAGGTGGCGCTGTCCAGAACCGGGTCATGCTTGTCGGCGGAGATCATTTCCGGTGGATCTGATGGCAATGCCGGACGGCCGGCTGGATCGGAAGCCAGCTTCGCCGGAGTTCTCCACAAGTGGACCAATTACGGCAAGGGGTGGAGATCCAGGTGGTTCGTGCTGCGCAACGGCGTGCTCTCCTACTCCAAGATTCCCCGGCCGGAGAACTCGTCTATGTTGCCCGCCGGAGAAGACGTCCGGCTCATTGGCGACGTCTCCTCCGCCCGCCTCACCCGCCTCGACAGTTCCGGATCACGACGCAAGCACCAGAAAACCATTGGCGTCGTTCATCTCAAGGTAAAAACACTCTCCAGAGAAAAAATTCTGTTTTAGAGAGAGAAAATCTGTTGCAGAGAGAGAAAGTTAGAGAGAGAGAGGGGGGGATATTATCGGATGCCATCTCTTGTATGATAGAAAAGTTTCCAATCGGAACGCACTGACTTTGTTTCTTTTTGGCGCTACTTCACAAAACTATTTTTACTGTATGTTTTTTATTTATTTATTTTTTTACTGTGATAAAAAAACACTTTCTATCCCGTTCGTATCTGTGAATTTCTTTCTATTTTTACAGTAATATAACTGGTTGTTGATCTTTAGTGGGTCACATCAACAGGTGAATATGGGGTATGATATGCTATATTGCATGCCTAGGTTTTTAATCTGTAGTCACATCATCGTTTTAGTCAAATTTGTGATCTCGAAATCTTGTGATTCGTATATTGGGATCTTCACTTTCCTTTGTAAATTTCTAATTTTTAATTTAACTTCTGTAATAATATATAAGTAAAAGTTCATATATTTGACTTATTATAAATCTTGGGACTTGGTGCTTGATGGGTTTGAATGTTAAGTGGCGACTGTTTGGAAGCTGAGAAAGGATAATTTCTTCCCTTTTTCCTGTCAAAACTTTATACCAAGGGTTCTATTCAAGCTAAATCAGATCATTCAGCTCTGGGTTTTATGATCTTTCTATTGTGGGTTTTGTCATGATTATCCTCCTCTCCAAATTGTGATTTTGAGTAAGCTTTATCTGAAAATTGCATTGGTATTGTTCTTATTTTCTTAATCTATGGTGTTGAACTATTGTTGTAGACCTTAAATTGTTAATGTATTAGTATACAATGGCTATATGAAGAGGCTGCAATTCTAATTACTGAGATGTTATTGGATTTCTTAGCAGATCTCTTCGTTTCGGGAGAGCAGGTCAGACGACAAACGATTCTACATATTTACAGCTACAAAGACTCTTCATCTGAGGACTAATTCAAAGAAAGAAAGAGTGGTTTGGATAGAAGCTTTGGTTTCGACTCGAAGTCTGTTTTCATTAAGACCCTTAAATGATAATCTGTCCCTTGTACCGGATGATATATCTCTATCAACTGAAAGGCTTAAAAGACGATTGCTTGAAGAGGGGATTAGTGAGGTACTTGTCAAGGACTGCGAGCAGATAATGCTTTCAGAATTTTCGGAAATACAAGGACAATTTAAAGTGCTCTGTGAAGAACGGTCCAATTTGCTTGACACACTAAGACAGTTGGAGGTAACTTCTACTTAGTTATGGCTGTACTTCAACAGTTAAAAGAGTATGGAACTCCCATCTCAATTTTATTTATTTTGATGGGGCAAGAAGGTTTTTCTCGGTGGGATTTTGCTGGGATGGATATCATGGTATCTTTTTCACATTTGTTATTGGGGACAAATTCACAAATGTCAGCAAAGCTTAAATGCTGAAATTTTTCTAAATTATAGAATAAATTAATCAATAGACTTGATAACTGCTTTACTTAATTATGCATGTTGCCAAGAAGATAGAGGTGGCTGTAACATTGCTCTCAGAATTTAGAAACAGATTTCTTCTTTGGGTCACTTGATACACATCCCCTGAACAGATTAGACAAACTGTTACTGTCCATCAATGTTTGTTGCCATGTAAGTACAGGCAATCTTTGTGTAGTGTTACATTTAAGGCGCTGGTACCAAATTGGGTTGAGCTGGGAAGATATTTTGGGTCTCAGTATGATGTCTTGTGTGGGAGTCTCATTGTTTGCTAATTGGTATTTGTTTGATATTTTAAAATCATTAGTTGTTTTCTTGTTTTATGATGTCTGTGCTTTCACTTTTCACATTATATTTTGACACTTGCCTATCACACAACTAACTTAATAAAGGGTGAATAGGATCATAACCCAACGTGGTCCACAGTAATCAAGCTGACTGAATGTAAGTTAAGTTCTATCATTATTTGCACAAAGTGGTTGCTCTTGGATTTAGAACCCGTGACATGGTCCGGGCATTTTACCACTGCACCGAACAAAGGCCCTTGTGAGTTGTGTGACTAAATATTTGTTTTAACAAGCTTGCTATTTTTGACTAATTTATTTATTTTTTGCATATGCAGGCAGCTAACATTGAAGCTGAAGGCTCAGGAATTCATGATGGTGAATACCGATTGGTGAAGCATGGATATTCCAGTTTAGGGCGTGGAAAATATAGTGGTACATGTGACATATGTCGACCATGTCTGGTGCATGTGATATGTTTTACTTGTGTCTTCTGCTCTCTCAAATAAAATGTTTGATAAAAATTGCAATTTATATTTATTTGGCTGTGTAAGATTTTCACTACAGGATTTTCTCCAATAGTTTTTAATTGATAAGTGTATCTTTATTAGCAACTGATTCCTGAGAAGATGAATATATAATGTTTACATTTATCTTTTAATGTAAATATTTTATCTTGTATTATTTGATAGTTTCATTTCTAAATTAGGATTGAGGACTCAGTTCTTTGACATCAATTACCAATGAAGTTTAATGTGAGGAGCATGCCATCTCACCAGATGAAAGGGCATTGTTATGGCTCGTTATCTGTATTCTTTTATTCTTTGCTTTTCTTTCATCTCTCTCTCCACTTGATACATTCTTTTGGTTAAAGTTTTTCTCCATGTAAATAGCACTTGGTTTGAGATGCATAGGTCATTCAAAATAAGACTGGTATTCTACATTCAAAATAATACCAGTCTTTCGCTTAAAAGTTTTTCTGCATGTCGCTTGGTAAATGAATAGGTCACTTCAAATACAATCAGGCAGAGCCAAAGGTACAAAGTTGTGACTTTCTCAGTCACTTGCGAAAGTTGTGATAGACATCCACAAAGCTGAACCTACTCCAGTTCTAAGGAACACCAAAAACGATTCATTATAGATGAATAGACACTTTTTTTATCTTTTTCAAAAAAGAAAAAAAAGAAAAGAAAAGAAAAGAAAAGAACAGAGGACTTCATGAAAACTTTATCTGAATTCTTACAGTTCTATATCTGTAAGGAAGTTTTCATTGACAAAACTGAAAGAGAAAAAGTAGGATTTAATTTTTTTTATTAATCAATAATATGTGATCCCCATGGTTACAGGGATTATATTGTCCATTTTCATTCTTTTTGTAAGCATATTTTCTGTCTTTATTTTGTATAAGTGTGTATTCTAATTTTCTTGGCATCTTATTTTGGTTCAGAATGCAGCACAACTGAATCATCAGACGACATTGAGAAACAAGAGCTTGAGGAAGTGACGGATGAAGAAGAAGCCACCTTTTTTGACACAAAAGAGTACTTCTCTGAACCAGCCACCAGTACCTTAACTGAAATTACTAATTATATGGATAAACATGTTGGAACTGTAAATCACATTGATGATGTGAAGAAGATGAATGCTGAGATTGGAATTACTGACTCTAGATATCCACAAATTGAAAGGCGAAAGAAGCTTCCTGATCCAGCTGAGAAAGAGAAAGGGGTTAGTCTTTGGTCTATGATCAAAGACAATGTGGGAAAGGACTTGACCCGGGTTTGTCTCCCTGTGTACTTTAATGAGCCAATATCATCTCTCCAAAAATGTTTTGAGGACTTTGAGTACTCTTATCTTTTGGATCGCGCATATGAGCATGGAAAAGCGGTATGATTGACTTACATTACCTTTTATTGTCTGTTGCTGTGGTTAGGAGATAATATGTGCAATTGAGTATCTTTCATGCTTTCATGATAAAACAGATCTTCTTGTTGCCCTATGTTTCCTGTCATTGCACAATCTGCTGCTATCATTTGTTTTTTAAGTAGGTTATTTTCCTATTCTGTTTGCTCGATTGAAGGATTGCTTCAGAATTTGGCTAAATATAGTATGGGATTGGATGACGTTCCATGGAAAATGAGTTGGTCCCTTTTGGTGCTCATTTGGATTTAAAGTAGTTTTCTGTGTTCTTGATGTTTGCTTAAGTGAGTACCCTTTTTTTTTTTAAAAAAAATCTTTCTCCATTTTCGTCTTCGACTGAAGCTTTCCAAGTCGTCTTGAGATTACTGGTACCCGTAGTTAACCCAAGTAGGTGGAATTAAGTCATCTTTAGTTAAATTTAGAATATTTTCTTTGGCCATTATGAACATATATGCAATGCTATGCTAATAAGTTTATTGGGCAATTACTTAGAAAAGCACAATTTGTGCAACAGCCGAAGGCCTAGCAAGTTAAGCAAGTGCTTTTTTTTCAAAGGCGGTCCCTTTCTTTCCCCAGACCGATGACTCGCTCGCTCTACACTAAAATTTCCAAATACTTCTATAGTCTACATGGAGAACGTTATTGTTGTTACTATCTTGTTTTTGGATTGCTTTGAGGGTGTATAACTAAGGAGACAGAAGGGTAAATGCAAAATGGTGTCCATAATGTTTGTCATCTTTTCCTATCAGCTGCTGAATGTCACTCCCATTTAATTTTCCAATGCCCTTATTCCTCTGTCATTTGGTTTCACTTCCAACATCTTGGTAACTTCCATATTGATCCTATGGATTGGGATTCTCTTTATCTTTGGGTTTCCACTCACTGGTCTGCCAGCCCCAGGTCCAGAAATTTCCTACTTCACAAACTTACCTTGACAGCCTTTTTATTTTTCACATGGATGGTGAGGAGTTGAAGAATTCATAGAGGTCGGCCTTGTCCAGCTTCTATTATCTTCTCTTCCATCAAGGAATATATGAGGTGCAGGCTTCTTACCATTAAACTTAAGGAGAGCAGTAAGGCAAATAGTTTCTGATTGGTGCTTTCCTAGCTCCTTCATTCGTCTCCTGTCAAATCACTCTGTGAGGATCGATGCTTCCTCAGATTAGCTGCTAATTGTGGTTTGTTCTTTGTATTTGCTGTCTAGTGATTGCTAGCAATCCTGCTATCTGCTGTGTTCCCTCAGTTGTTTGGTGTTGCTGCCTTTTACTGCAATCCGGGTTTGCTATGGTTTGCCTTTGCAGTGCTCTGTTTGAGATTGGGCTCTTCTGGCAGCTTTGCTTTTGTTCTCTTTCTTTCTTGTTTTAGCCCTTGTAGGGCTTCTTTGGGTTTTCCTTTATGTGTACATTTCTATATTTTAGAGTTACCGAGGGCGTGTCAGTAAATTTTACCATGACATCACCTAGGAACAAATGTACTTGAAGTGTTCTGACTTCTGAGTTCTCCTCAGTGAAAGAAGTACACCTTGGCCGATTATTAAAACCGATTCCTCAACTTTCTCTGGACTTCTGATGAACATTGTAGTGTGATTTTCTGAAGTTTTGGCTTCAAATTGTGGAAAAATTTGATTAAATTGTAAATCATTTTATCTAGATATGGCAAGCTTCAAAATGTCACTGTCTTCGTATATATATTCGTTATCATACATTTGCCTTTCCAGGAAAAGAAATTTTTTTGGCCTTTCTTGTTTCTATGTTTAGACTTCCTATTAACATTTAATTTGTTTTAAGGACTCTTTTGTCAGATTTTCTGTTAATTCAATTCAAAGTATATCCTTTTGATTTACAGGTGGCCCAATTGTATTGAAACCTGACATATTTGCTGTATTGATCTTGTATTAACCTTTAGGGAAACAGTCTCCTAAGAGTTTTGAATGTTGCTGCTTTTGCGGTTTCTGGATATTCTTCATCTGAAGGTCGCCACTGTAAACCCTTCAATCCCTTATTGGGTGAAACTTATGAAGCTGACTATCCTGATAAAGGAATTCGCTTCTTGTCGGAGAAGGTATTTATGCAAAGTAGCAACACTGGCCTAATCATTGATTTCAGATTGAATATGCTTTCACATTTAGACTAGGGCTTGACTATTTTGCTTCAAAAGAGGTTCTGCATCCTTGTCCAGTAATTGCAATAGGGGCCATAACCCGTAGATATTCTGAGAGGGCTTATTAAAGGCATGCTTAAAGGCTATATGGGTTGTCGTTTGTTTGGTTCAAAGTCTGCATCCTTCTCAAATTATTCTCCAGATGTTGCATTATAGTGTGTTGGTGTGGATAACAAAATGAAACTCTGGTGGGCACACATAATTTAGGGGCCAAGTAATAATGCTTAATTTTCTATCTTCCATAACATTAATGAAATTTTAAAAGCATCTTTTAAACCGTCATTATTTTGCAACTATTTTTGTACCTGCTACAAGAATTAGAATTTTAACTCTTGAAGGTGGACGAAATTTATCTGCATGACTACATCTTAAAGAGACTTTTCCAAGGGTTAATAGTAACCAAAATGGATGATGTGTACTATATTATATCTGCATTATATCGGAGGCTATGACCTTAGATAGAGCAGAATGGAAAAATGTAACGGCCCACTCCACCGCATGGAAAGGGGAAGTGGTATACATGTAGGTGTGTCACTCCAATTGGTATGAGGCCTTTTGGGGTAAAGCCCAAGAATAAAACCATATAAGTTCGGGCCCAAAGTGGACAATATCATACCATGTGATGGAGTGGGTTGTTACAAATGGTATCAGAGCCTGATCCAGCCGGAAGTGTGGCCAACGAGGACGTTGGGCCCCACCGGGGGGGGGGGGGAGTGATTGTGGTGACCTTGTGGGCGGGTGCAAGAGGCACTAGTAGGCTACCACACTGGACGAGTTACAGGTGCACAATCCCACATCGTCTGTGTAAGGAAAATGTGAAGTGCTTATATGTGGTGGTGTTATCTCCAATTGGTATGAGGCCTTTTGGGGTAAAGCCCAAGAGCAAAATTGTGCGGGTTCGGGCTCAAAATGGATAATATCATAATATGTGGTGGAGTGGGTCGTTACAAAATCCCCAAGTAGTTCGGGAAAAGGCTTTATTATTGTATTCTTTGACCAAGTTTTCAAAATTTTCACATTTTGTTTGGTTTAAGATATGCTTCACACTAATACCTGCCTTCAAGCATAGTATGTATCCTAATCTTTTTCCTGTTTCATTTGTAAATCAGGTTAGTCACCACCCAACACTTGTTGCCTGCCACTGTGAAGGCAAAGGTTGGAAATTTTGGGGTGACAGTAACATTAGATCAAAATTTTGGGGAACATCAATTCAGCTTGACCCTGTTGGAACTCTAACCTTAGAGTTTGATGATGGCGAGATTTTCCAATGGAACAAGGTATGCACATGGTAAATATCATGCGGTATATAGCCTGCTATGCTGATCTGATCTCATTGGTTTTATATTTGTTCATATGATACAAATATTCTAAAGCTTGTTCGTTCTTTTTTTAGGTGACAACAACCATTTATAATCTCATCCTTGGTAAACTATACTGTGACCACCATGGGACGATGCACATACATGGTAATCGCCAGTATTCTTGCAAACTAAAATTCAAAGAGCATTCTATTCTTGACCGAAATCCTCACCAGGTAAACAAAGAGATCTTTAGCCTACTAAATTCTACTTTAGTTGTTTGCTATTTTAACGAATACTTGCTTGTTTTATAATATTAGAGCTTTCTGCTGTAAACAAGTGCCTGCTTATTTGGTTTAACAACATCAATCAAAATAGAACATAATTGAAACTTAGGGGCCATTTCTTGGTGCAATGTAACATCTCTGGCCGCCAAGCGTGCAAATTCAGAATTAGAGTCTAAAAAAAGACTTCTTTTTTTGAGCACCTATATTGGCAGCACCAAACTTGGTGATGCAATCTCATACACTACTGATTTGAATCTAAGTTCTGGATCCTTTATTTGTGTAACAAACCCCACTCACTATACAGGTTCATGGATTTGTTGAAGATGTCAAGGGGAAGAAAGTTGCCACATTAGTTGGGAAGTGGAACGACAGCATGTATTATATGAATGGAGATGGGACTAGCAAATCAAATGATTTGTCCAATGCATCTTTGTTGTGGAAAAGTAGTAGGCCTCCTCTTAATCTCACTCGCTACAACCTGACGTTGTTTGCAATTACACTAAATGAGTTGACATCAGGATTGCAGGTAGAGATGATGTATTGCATCAATTTTTTCATAGGCACTTTCATTTTCTTCTTATGCATCTCTAATTGTCTTTTATAGTTCTGTCTGATTCCGGGTATTTGATCACGGATTAAGGAGAAGCTCCCACCCACGGATTCAAGACTCAGACCAGATCAACGTCATCTGGAGAATGGGGAATACGAAAAGGCAAACGCAGAGAAATTACGGTTGGAGACGCGGCAAAGAATGGTATTTCTGACACCTTTCTGTACATTTTCTTTGTGTAGATATTCATGCCAAAATTTTCTGTTAATTGTCTTAATCCCGTTTTGGGACTTTGGAGTGCTTGGTGGTCACCAGACTTCCTTAACTGCTGGCATATGAATCAATGTTTTTATAAAAGGACGTGCAAATGTCTGCTGGACCTAAAGATGTGATGTCGTATATATGATCCTGTATTGATGCCTGCCCATTTGATCTTGGAGTCTTACTGATTGGATTTACCGTTGTGGTGTAGTCAGTCTTACCCTTCTTGCAAAACAGCCATTTGCTATGTCTTCTTACAATGTCATGCCTGTTGTATATTTGATGTACCAACAGAGCTTCAAACTAGCTTTTGTGATTGATACTGAACACAGTAGAAACTGAGTTTTGGTTCTCGAACTACATATAAAATAATCCTTAATTTTCAAGGATAATTACGGCTGGTAGCCCTCAAGGATATATATGAATCTCTCTAGCATAGTCTTGTATTTATGGAACTAGACATTTCAATTCTAGTTTTTCCATTTTTCTTTTCTTGTTTCATGTATTAATAAAACGGTGTTGTTTTGAAAGGCTGGAAAATGGTAGAAACACTGAAATATCATATAAATAGGATCGGTTCATCGTGATCTCTTAACCTTTATTGTGGAGAAGGGATTTCCATTCAACAAGGAGGAAAGAATTCTCAATTGAAGATATGAGCCCCTAGGAATGCCAGAGGCATGAAGACTGACTCCAGTAATTTGGCTTGCTTCCGAATTTTTTTTGAGGAATTATGTCCGGATGCATCCATATATTATGTGTGCAAGTCAATGAAACTACACCGTAGAGCACTACACCATAGAGCAGCCAATGAAACTACACCATATTTTAAAAACTATAATTTGATTTGCGCATTAGGTAGCTACATAAAGGCGAGAATGTGCATTCCATGGACGTGGGGTTCGTCTTACAGTTGCTTTGCACAGCTGTATGATGGTTTCAACTCAGAATTATAGGACCAATTTATAATTTAAGTAAATTCTATATGTCAAGACAAAATTGATAGAGAGATACTAGAGTTATATGTTCTTTTTACTTTTGTTTTTTTAGGTAAATTTATATTTGCTTCTTGTTCTTTGGTAATCATTTAAAAAACTAACATTGTGCACCAAATGATAGTTGAGTTTACCGGCACCCTATAAATGTCGCACACATTTCTGAAATCTTGCAGGTTGGTCCATATAAATGTATTAAATAGATAACTTTACGTTGTAACAAGGGTAAGGACACAAATAATATACAAATAGAAACATGGTATGACTTTATTTTGCACGTCTTGGAATGAAATAACTGAATACAATAGATAGGCTGTCTTACCTCTTGGCATGATACAGTATGGTTGGGTGTGGCATTAGGTTGATGCAATGAAGGTTTAGTATTTACAAAGCAGAATTGGATACCGAACCTATGATGACTAAAAGAATAACAGGCAGTTGTTCTCAATGTACGTAGTAATTTTGTTGTTGTTTTGCATTTCAAAATTCAGATAATCATCTGATACTTTCTTCTTTCGTTTATTTGCCTTTTCTTTTGCTCAGTTCTTTGCAACTTTGTTGATGTTGCCAATTATTCTGTAAATACCGTGTCTGCCTTTTTTTTTTTTTGATAAGTAAGAAATGTATAAAAAGCGCTCAAAAAGGGATCGCATCCCAAAAGAACAACAAAAGGCAAAAAAAGCCTCTAAGCCTTCAAAGAGGCCAAAAAAACGACAATATCTTCAACAGATCTGTAATCTCTTCCTGAAACCCAACAAAAAAGTGTGGAGGCAATAGAGAACTTGAGAAAATAAATAGGCAATTCCTTTCCATCAAAATATCTCCTATTCCTCTTGAGCCAAATGCATCACCACACACAAAGAGGCGTACCCATTCAAGCATCTTGAATATGAGCCCCCACAAGACAACCTCTTCAAGCTTCAATCAACCCTCTAGAAGATCCAGGCATGACCTAGAGAAATCCAAATAGACCAAGCATCAAATCCCAACATTCCTTGGCCAAAGAACAATGCAAAAGAAGATGATCCACTGTGTCCTCATCCCGAAGACCCACGTAACACCGATTGATCACCACCTGATTCCTCCTCCTCAAATTATCCTGAGTCAAAATCTTTCCCAAAATAGAGGTCCAAGCAAAGAAGGCCACCTTGAGGGAAGCCTTAGAACGCCACACAGCCTTCCACGGGAAAGGACCTTTAGGCTCTTCTGTGAGACACCTGAAGAAGGACCGAACATCAAAGTGACCCTGAGCATTGGGAGCCTAAAACCAAAAATCAGAATCTCCAACCATAATACCCTGACGATATAACACTTCCAGAAGACGAATAGCATCCTCAACTTCCCAGTCCTAAAAAAGATCCAGAATCGAACATCCCAAACTAGTCTCCCGCTATCAAGACGATAACAGTTGACCACCATGGCCTGCCTATCTGTAGCAATCCTGAACAGCCGAGGGAAAGCGAGAGCAAGAGGAAGGTCCCCACACCAGACATCCTCCCAAAAACTAATCCTCCTGCCATCCCCGAGACGAAACCTAACATGATTGGAGAAATCAGCCCAGCCCTTCCGAATTAACTTCCAAACCCCCACACCCCTAGGACCACGCACCTCAAGAGAACTCCACCCTCCTCTACTCTCCCCATATCTGCTCACAACGACCATCCTCCAAAGCCAATGCCCCTCCACCCCAAACCTCCACAGCCATTTCCTAAGGAGAGCTTTATTGAAAGGCACCAATCTTCTAAGCCCCAATCCTCCATTCCGAATCGGCCTACACACTTGCTCCCAATACCGCTTCTGCCTTCAGTATTATACAATATTATCCGTCATCTAACTTACCACATGCACTTGATGCATCCTACATACCAATAATAATTCTATGTTCATTATATGCAATGTAAATTAACCGGTCACAATAATGCATTTTGAGAAATCTCAATAACTATAATTAGATATCTAGCTATGTTACTGGGATATTGCATCTATCAACAAACATAACCACATTTAGCAAAAAATATCTGTTTACTGTTAACCATGCCTTGATAAAATTTTCTCATTTGTGTTGATAATACTTCCTGTACAGTCGAGGAAATTACAAGAAAAGGGGTGGAAGCCCAAATGGTTCCAAAGAAATGGTGAAGATGGACCTTTCTGCTACGTGGGCGGCTACTGGGAAGCACGGGAGCAGCGGAAATGGGATGGGTGCTCAAATATATTTGGTGAATTTGACGAAGATCTTGTTAATTCCTCTGAAGGGGCCTGATTTTTACAATGGTGCTCATTTTTTTTTTTTTTTTTTCTGGCAAGCTTGCTGAACCCTCGTACAATTATTTTAAACTGCTTGTTAGTTCGGAAGCCTATTATGTTATAGATGGTTCCTCCCGAAACAGACTAAATACAAGGGATTCATCTCCCTACATATCAAATTGCATTACTATTTTATAGATCTTTAATTATCTCCCGATACTTAGATACTTTCAACATATCAAATTGCATTTGACGGGTGAAATCTTTCACTGGGCTAATCAATAGTGCATGCCATTCCTACTGTTAACCATTCTCGGATATGCATGACATTGAAAGAATCTAAGTATGACATTGAAATTTTCTTGTTTCTGTTGCTGAAGTCTTTAGTATTAAATCTGATTGCTCATAAACATTTGCTCCTCATGCAGGACGTTGACGGAGCAACTTTATGCATGCATGACCTAATTTGTTCCAGACTGCATCAGTTTGCCAGATTTTCTTTTCTGAGGTTGACACAAGTCGATCCTGAAGTACATCCGAATTAAGAATCAATCTTCGATAATGGTGGTGGATCAGAGTCAAATTTCTTTGTTATTTTCTGTCATCTGTTGTAATCTTGTAATTTCCACCCCCAATTTACATAAGTATATGTATTTTTTCTTTGTTAAGAAATAAAAGGGAAAAAAAAAGGTGTTGCAGAAATCATTTAAACATGAGATTTGTTGTTTAGCCATTTATTGTCATAGCTTCCTTTTATCCATTCCAATTTTTTTTTTTTTTTTTAAAGTTGAAAGTTCATCACAGTTACTATATATATATATATATATATATATATATTCTCTTCATAACAAAGGTTGTACATGCTAGGTTAACTCGGTTAAGTGTTGAATTCTATCCTGAGAAAGATAATCATCCGAGGAAGATGAGTACAAAAACAGGTGAGAGAATGTTCCAAAATTTTCGGTCATGGTTGAACACTTGAGTTCCTAGATGATTTTTGGAATCATTTCTATTTTTTAATTGAAAATATCAATTTGAAGTTGGAATTCGTTGACTTTCCTTAAGTTCATCAGTAGTCTTATCTATATGAAGTGAGATTAAACATGGTTGAGAAGAATGGAATTATGGAGTTAATGGGTGCAGAATTATTGGCACACTTTGCTTGCTCATCACCAACTAGGTCATTGAATAATGTCCAATCGAATGCAGAATAATTAATAACAAATTATATATAAAAAGAATAATAAAGAAAAATAATCTTAGTTGAACTTGGATGTTCTTTGCAACAATATTTTGCACATATTTGCTATTCGTGCAACATCATTAAATTGTAGATTTAATACCATAATGGATTACCTGCCACATACGATATTCTGAATGGAATGCACAATAAATTACAACGATTGATTTGAATGATCACTTCAATTATTGTGAATATGAATTTATTGAGAGACAAAAGTCAAATCTATATAAAATATTTAAATAAAATATCTATAAAAGGAAAAATACTATGATGAGAGAGTCGATGCCTTTTTCAATTTGACGTCGGCTGATGTGTTGGGGTGTTCTCATTGGACACGTTATAATTTTGATATGAATCTATTTAAAACTTGTGTTGTAATTTTGTTATTTGATCAATTTTTTAAAACAGCATTAATAAAGAGACTGTTACGCTTTGATTCAAATTTCAAGGTTTGTGACTCAATAGAAGTTGTGTGGCACAATAACTTTCCTTTCAATATCCAGGTAAATGAGCATCACTTTTTTAATTAATAAGAGTATTTCGAACCGTTGTGTATATATATTTTTAATTAATAAAAGTATCTCTAACCATTGTGTATATATATATATTTTTTGTGTAAATCTGATGTATATTTACACAAAAATTTTGGATTAATTATTTTTAGTTCCAACAGTTGTTTTATATCTTTTGTTCAAAAAAATATACCCCAATAACAATCAACCAGTATCATACCTGGACATACATAATTTTTACAAACCTACTTAATATAGGATTGATTCATTAATGGAATGAAAAATATGGAAGAGAAAGCAAATATGTTGATGTGGATGTGTAAAAAGATTGTGTAAAATACACAATAATTTTACATATTGATGAAATATGCTGATATGCCTGTATAAAAAGGTTGTGTAAAATACACAACAATTTTACATATTGGTGACGTGACAATATATCTTAACAGACTGTTGGAGATAAAAATAAAATTATAATCATAAGTGGTAGTGTATATTTTACACAAAACAGTATTTTAACATACTGTTAGAGATGCTCTGATGACATTATATTAAATGGCTTGAGTTTGAAAGAATTAATTACTTTCCTACTCTATGAAGAAATCAATACCAATGGTTGAATCAAGAGTTGAAGTCCATCCGTCCATTGGGAATTCAGGTAATTTGGTTGCTGGTATTTTGTTTGGAGGGATCTTATGCATGACACTGTGTATCAAAATAATATTATTTTGATATACAGTTCAAAATGGGGTACACAGAGCTGAACATGAGACTGCGATGAGCTATGCCTCTGTTTATCAAAACAACGTTGTTTGGTTCACATGACTCCTCCAAACAAGAGGGAATCCACTTTGGTAATTAAGGTAGTCAAAAAGTACCAGAACAACATTGTTGAGTTAAATCAGTGAATGAAACGAAGTCGTTTGATTCACAGAACTCCGCCGAGCATAGGGAATCCACTTCCATGATTAAAGCAGCTAAAAAGTAGAAGCTCGTCTAATTTTGACATCATTTAACATGATCGACAGCATGCAATTCCTCTTAATTCTTGGTCCTTTTCCATTCTTTTTGTACATAAAGGTTACAACATTGTAAAAAAAGCACAAAAGCATTCTAAAGACAAATTATAAAAGGAAGCTACCTACTAAAAAGTAAGCTACAATAATACCCTATAAAAATAAGTAAAAATAAATAGAGGAGGAAATTAGAACTTATGCATGTCCAATAGGCTCTTCTGCCTCCTCCAATTCAATCCCTTCATCTGCAAGCCTTTTATCCTTGTAAACATACCATTTTGCCCCTATCAAATACAATCCCAAATTCAAAACACTCAAGATTGACAACAGCCAATAGAAGTCATAAAGCTTCCCTTGGTTGAGATTATCAGCTAGCCATGGCCTTTTGTCACCAGTCACCTTGTGCACTATAGAAACCAAGAGAGAGCTGAAGAAAAACCCTAGTGAAAGTGTGCTTAAAAACAGCCCTGTGCTCATGGTCTTCATCCCTTTAGGGCACTCTCTTAGGAAAAAATCGAGCTGCCCGATATACGTGAAGGCCTCCCCGGACCCCACGAAGAAGAATTGTGGGACCAACCAAAATACACTAAGTGGGATCACGTCCGCTGCATTGTCCGTCATACCATGTGATCGCGCAACGTGCAGTCGCTTGAGTTCAGTAAGTGCTGCTGCTACCATTGCAAAAATTGAGAGGACCAGACCGATGCCTATGCGTTGCAATGGGGTTAGCCCTTGGGGGTTCTTAAGCACTCTCCGTGCGATCGGATTGATAACTCGGTCGTAGACCGGGACGGTCAAGAGAATGCTGCCCACGAAGAAAACGGTTAGCGACGCCGCCGGAATTCGGAACGATTTGCCGATGCGGCGGTCCATGGTAGTGGCTTGCGCCACTGAGAATGTGGTCATTTGGGCATAGACAGTCCAGAACATAATAGTGGTGGCCCAAATTGGTAACATTCGAATCACCAATTTCACTTCCTCCACGTCTGTTAAAGTTGAAAGGCACCACTTATTCACCACAGTGACTTCACTCGACATTTCAGGGTACTTGATTGCTGCTTTGTCCAAGAAACTGCCGAAAGTAAGAGGCATAAAAGATGACAATCAGACGGTTATGAATTCATCATCACAATGGTGTGATCAAACAACTATGTAACCATAAGTTTTGTTTGTTACTCTTGTCCTCATTTTCAACATGTTAGCCCCAATGGGTTTTCTAATAATAGACATTGATGGCATGCATATTACAATCCAGTGGGCAAAAAAAGGAGCAATTATTGTTGGAGTTATATGGGGAAGGTGGGAAGTGAATGCACAAAACAATGGGCGTGAAGATCAACCAGTGACAGACTGGTTCACAGTGGCTCGTGATCTTTTGATTCCCTTTTTGGATCACACTTTATTTTACTAATAATAGGTTTCATATACTCTGATTTCAAGATTGGCTGAGCAATATATATGTATATATGTATGTATATATATATAGTCATTATTTATAGGATACAATGGGACGTATATAAGGTATGTTAATTACAAGTCTAGACTGTGCACAATTTTAATTTTTATTAGCGAGACTTATAAAACCTAAAGATTGAGCTTGTACAATTATTAAAGTCGGGATTGTGCATTAGTCCAACTCTACTTATATATTTATTTCATTTGGATAAAAGGTGTTTTTTTTTTTTTTTTTTTTAAGTAAAATTTTTTTGTGAGACTCAAAATTTAAAAATCGAACTTGCACAATCGTAAAAGTCATGATTGTGCATAGTTGAGTTCAATCTATATATTTATTCAATTTGGATTAAGGGTATTTTTTATATAATAAATTTTATTGTGAGACTTATAGCAATGACTTAGTAGCACCGGACATCTATTTTTTTTAAGAAAAATTAAAATTTGATCTCAATAAAAGTATCTACATCTATTCTTTTTTTTAAAAATTAAAATTCAATCCCAATAAAAGTATCTATGCGGAATATCAACTAAAAAATTAAACATTCTTAAACGTCCTTGTGTTTGAATACATCCCCCTTAGTTTGCCAAGGAAACAAACAAACAGATAAAATGTAAAGATTGAGCTTGTCGAAGTTGTAAAAAAAACAAAAAAAGAGGCTTGTCAAAGTCATTATTGTGCATAGTCCATCCCTATCTTTATATGTGAATTTGATTTGAATATGATAAATGGGGCAAGTTTTTGTTTATTTCTAGGTAGTCCGATAAATGGGTGTTACTGCCACTAATTAAAAAACAAGGGACGTAAATTAGGTGCAGACAGCTTATAATTTAATGGTTGTCAACACTTGGGCCACAATTTGGCTGGCAAATACGAGTGTATCCAAGAATTAATACTGCTACATCAATAATTGGTTAGTACATTATTGGCCGTCTGATATACAATCAATATTCTGGAATCTGATTGAGTGATTCTACATAAACCATTTGAAGATTGGCCACCAAAGATGGCCCACTATAAAGATATGACAACAGCTTGCCACCTATCCTAGTTGTGGCCAAGTATAATTGCATTTCCCAAAATTACATGCAATCCATGTCCCCCTAGCATTAAATATTTTTTTTCCCTAGTTTTGACATTTGCTACAATAATTCACCAGTCAATTTAGTTGTCCATATTGGTATCATTGCTTCTATAGAAGAAATATCAACAATATTTTGAACCAATATTTTTTCTAATTTTTTAGAATAATTTTTAGAAAATTAAACCATAAAAACAATATATATTTTTAAAAAATTGAATAAAGTTGATGAAAATAATATATTTTTTTATTAAATTTTTATAAAATAATTTTCAAAAATTATTAATTAAATATATTTTGTACAAAAACTGAACCAAACAGACTTATTATCACCATCACTTCATCTGCTGATACGAGTTTAGAATAATTATTCAAGCTAACTTTGTTCTTAAGAAATAAATGGAAAGAAAAGAATACTAACCGGAATTGCTTAGAATGGGGTAAAATTTGCTTTTTCTTCTTTTGTGTTTCGTTTGCAATGTCATCCAAGTTGAAGAGGAGAGAAGAATCCGACGGTGGCTCCAAATGCCTCTTCTTCCACGCCGCCACGAACACGGTGGCGATCTGCGTTATCGGGCTTCCGACAAGTTTCTTGAACCGATACCGCCTAGTGCCCGATAAGAACACAAACAAGCCTAGCAAAATAGCACAAGCACAAATTCCATAACCCCATTCTCTGCCCAAGTTGTCTTGTATGTACACAAGTATTGTCACCGCACAAAGTGATCCAATACTAATGAAGAAAAAGAACCAATTAAAGAAATTGGTCATTTGGGTCCTCTCAATTTTGTCCGAATCATCGAATTGGTCGGAGCCCAAGCCGGAAACACTCGATTTTAGGCCGCCGGTGCCAAGGGCAGTGAGGTAGAGTGCTATATAGAGGGCCACTAGCTGCATGCCGCTCGCCGGAGTGCATGACTCGCTGCCTATGGTGCATTTTGGTGGCCGGAGACTAGGGATTATGGTGGAAATGGTCAAAATTGTCACACCCTAAACACAAACATAGACAAAGCAAGTATTAAATGTCAAGAAGCACGAATTAAGTGGACATATCAAACAAATATCATACATTGCATTCTATACAACATTAACTTGTAGTTTTGTTGTATTTAATTTCATACATAATGTTGCGTTTAGGATTGTTTTTAAACTAAATTTGTTTTGACTCGAATTTTAAGACCCATTCAGTACTCTCAAACACAGCTTAAAAGAATTTCAGACCTCCCTTTTAAATATTTTTTTGGGTCAAAAGAAACAATGGTAATTTTTTTTTTTTTTAACAGACATTTATTACAAAATGTTACAAGTCAAACAGAGTTAAATGCAGTTTCGAGCATGAAGTACTTACAGTTGCTTGAACTGTGGTAAAGATGGCAATGGTTAGATACCTATATATAGAAAAAAAAAAGTAGTACCAAATCAGCAAACAAATTATTAACAAACGCATAATTCACCATCTTAACATAACATAAGATTATTGTTAAGAACTTGATGAAAAATTCATCAAAAAAAAAAAAAAAAAAAAAAAAAAAAACACACACACACACACACACACAACAGCAACAACAACAACAACATGAAATTAAGAACAAGTTAATATATAGTAGTAACCTGCCAAGGAAAGTGTCCGCGACGAAGCCGCCGAACAAACAGAGCATGAAGGAGGTGCCAAGGAAGTTGGTGACTGTGTTGGCCGAGGAAGCATTCCCCAGATGCATTGTAGCAGTCAAGTAAGTCACCAAATTAACAGCTATTCCAAGAGTTGTTAACCTCTCACATGCCTCAATCCCTGAAAAACAGATCGAGATGTGTGAGTTGATTTTCTTGTGTGTGTGTGTCACTGTGTGACAAAGTGGGTAGAGAGAGAAAGTGAGATTGGAGACCTAGAATCATGGCTGCACTGGTCCAGCCACCGGTGGTGAGTCTCTGGGCCCGATGGCCTTTGTAGTCCCAGGCATCTGGGAGGGTATTGGTCCCTTGTGTTTCAGGGAGTGCCATTTGTTGATTTTTTATTTCTTTGTGTGAAATGTGTTTGATATGTGTTTGAACTGTGTGTGTGTGTGAGAGAGAGAGAAAGAGGGGAAGAGGGAGGGAGGGAGGGAGGGAGGGGCTATACTAATTGTGGGCAGAACTAATATGCTTCTATGTTACACAAGGCGTTGTCCTTTTTATTGCTGTTGGTTTGGAGCTCACTGACCTCACTTTGCCATATTTTAGACCCTAATAATAATAGAAGGTTGATTTACAAATTACAATTGACACCTGACACCTAACACCTGTAAGTTAACTGGCTAAGTTTGCAAAATAATATAAAATGAACAATAATTAGGGGTCTCTTGTGTGTCTTCTTGGTCCCGTATTTGTCATGTGCATTTAAATCAATATTGTAATAATTTAAATTAACAATATAATAATTTTAAATATGTTAGAAATTATATCTATAAGTTAACTTGATGATTGTGTCAGATATTTTAGTTCTTCATTACAGGATAATGTTTTGACTTCTGTTTAGGGGTTTGATTTTTATTTTTGATTTGATTTTTATTCTATTTTCATATTTGTAATTTTTCTCTAGTCAGATTCTCAAATTGAGCACGCCAATTTTATTAAATTACTTTTTGATATCAGAGACACGTATCATATCATTCAATTAAATCTTTATATCAGTAATGCAATAACTAGCTAAAAATATTAAATTCTTAATTTAATAGTGTCACAGTGTTGTAAGATAATGTAATATATTACATAAATATTGCATTTTCGATGTAAATGCATTTTATAAGAATAATTACATTGTCCTTGAATCTTAATACATTCGTCCCTTTTTTGTTGTCCGCTTCCTAAACTGTGACTCACATAATATAATTGTGAGTCACAGTTTACGAAGCGGATAACAAAAAAGTGACCAAGAGAGTATCATATAAGGTGTCAAATTGTGATGTAGTGTGTTGTGCAGCTTATTTATTAGTGCACAAAACGAGATAGAATGGAACGAGGGACAAGGGAGGATCTAGGTCACATGAATACAACAAGTTTCTTCTATGGTTGTGGTCATTTTTTGAAAATAGTACACTTTCTGCGAGAAAAAAATATATATATTAGGTGCTTATTTTTTTAAATAACCCTATGGCCTCACTAGAAAGAAGACCTATTGAATTAATATGTCTTTAATTATTTAAAAAATGGTGACCACTCGATAAAAGTGTTTTTTGGTGATGAGATCCTAGTTTAGTGAATTTCTAAGTTATGAAGTGTTTTTTGGCTGCTCACAAAATTTATAAGGTGTGATCAATGAAATTATTATATTAACTGGTAGATTTTTAATTTGTTGTGAAGTGAACTATCGAATTTTTCGTGATATATGCCTTTTTTTTGTAATGTAATCCTTTGTCGTTTAATTCAATGATTAAGAAAAAAGTATTTTGGAATGTAATACTTTTGTCTGTTGTTTAATTCAATGACTGAAGTAGAAGAGTTAACATATAGCCTCAAAAACTACATCCATGACCCGTAGTTGTCAAGAATAACAATTATGGATCTTAATTAAACACGCTACGTGCCAATTAACATAGGGCTCAGACATATTCTCACTTTGATTATATCCATCAGTCATATATAGTGAGAATAAATATAAAATATGTATGATTACTCACAAATCAATTTAATTATTTTAAATTCAGATAAAAATAAAATTTAATATGTTCGAATTTATGGCTCGCCTTATTGTGGGACTATAAGTTATTGAATGGGTTATTAAGTGCGTGACAGATCCATCTGGCTGACTGGTCTCATTCGCAACATTATAATTTATATCTGTAGTTACAAAATTGGCCTTACCGACCTTTGATGAAATTTGAATGTTCACATGCAGAGAAGCTTATTGTGGATCAACTAAACGACAAGTATATACATCAGTTGTAGCAGAGATAATAAGGTGCATGGGTCGATTTCTTAGGGTGGGCCATGGGTTTTATAATTGAACAGAGTTTCATCATGAATTCCAATACTCACCACTCACAAAGGAATTTATCAATCACTCACCGGTATCATACATATCTTGAAGGAATCAGCCTTTTGAACCACCGTTGAATTTTGTGATACATGGATGTCCAACGTGTCCTGTGATTGTTATTTACGATGGGATAGGTAAAAAAAAATTATTAGATAATCTTATACCATTAATATTTGATAAACTAATTCAATTTAAATTTTATAATTAAAAAAATAACTCGTAAAAGTATATTTTGATATTATAAACAAATCTAAATAACGGTCTCAATTAAACTAGTTCATCGAATGTCAAATGATTTAAAATCTATTTAATAATTTCTCAGTTCAAACTATTCATTATTTTCATAGGTGTAACCTGAGTGTGTGTTATTTGTTGGGACAACCTTTTTTTTTTTAAAAAATATTTGTGTGATTCGTTTTATATATATATATATAAAGAGCTAGCTTAGTCTACAATACTCTTGTCGTTACATATCTAGGTGTTTGGCCTAAAGCATTATTCGGTAACTGAGTGCACATGAGTTACCTCACCTGCAGGTGTGCCAAGACTATGATCAGTCCCGATTTGTAGCTAAGCTCGAGCTTTGTAAATTAGGCAAACAAATATTCCCAATGTTACAGCCACTTGGGCTATAAACTTGACCTCTCTGACTTAAGCGATTGTGGAAAGCAGAAATGACCCCTTTCAATGGTTCTTAACATTTCGGCCCTACAAGGGCTCCGCTGATTTGAGAAGAATTGTTTTTTATATTTTTGCGTGATGGTGAGAGAGAGAGAGAGCTTACAACAATGCAAAGAAAAATAACTCTTTGGTCATTAACCATTACAGTAGATGAAGATTGATTGGAAGATGTGGTCGCTTTCAATTCTTTGGTCCTAATTAAGTACAATCTACACTTAATCCAATCGAAAAGTAAATGCTTAGTTTAACAACTACAACTGGTAAAGAAACATGAAGTTTAAACACTACATCATTAGTGTAATAAAGCAGTAAATGCAACGAAGTAAATATTTTCCTAAGACTAGAAAGGAAAACTATGCTGAAATTAAAAGTAACTGAGGAAGAGCAAGGTTTATACCTTGAGCTACACTGCATGAGCAAGCTTCAAATAAAACAGGTCTGGAAGATCACAAAGGGTGACAATATGAAATATCCAGGTGTATTGGTGGAGAACATTTTTTTTTTTTTTTTTTTTACGTAAATGAGTTTTATTTATAGTCGAGGTCGTGTAACGTTAGCCATTGGACTAGATTCCTCATAGACGGCTAAGACAGTCCTCTGGGATGCAAGCTGTCATGGGCTCGTGTAGATAGGAAAGCTGAGCCTTTATAGGGTAATTTAACTGCTGTATTTAATGTAAAATATGGAGCGCCACCTTTAACTTGACAACTTATCACCTGCGTTGTTTCCTTATTCTATGCACTCAAAAGTACTTCGCTAATTGGACTTGCCACTTCCCTAACCTTAGCAAGCTTAAATGCTGGAATGGACAAAGTCAGTGATTCATTTGTCTGAGCTTCTGCGGTTGCGTTGACTTCTTCGCGACATGTGAATTTTCTCTTGTGCCATTCTAATGTAGTGTAATAATCGGAGTATAATTCAAATAACACACAATGATATTTTTCACAGTGCACCAAACACATTTAGATTAATTGGTCTCGTAACTTTAACCTGCCTTAGCCCTATGCAACTTAGCTTTACTATAGCATAGCCTAAGCCTCGTACCCTTGGCCTCATGCAGATTAGCTTATAACCTTGGCCTCAAGCAAATTAGCTAATAGCCTTAGCCTTACTGTTGAAGACTTGATCCCCACTCCTACATTGCACAACCTTGGACTCCAAATTCGGTCAGCCTATTTGTATAGGCCTCGTGTATATTTAGTTTAAATAATTCAATATAAATATGGGTTCAGATTTATTGTTTTCACTCTCAATTATCATGGCACGATCTCCTCTCTAAGTAAAGAGGTTGAGTGGTGGATCTCTATTAGCGGTAAGTTGTGAGTATGTGAATTTGTTTCAACTTTGGTAAAAGAGAAAACATTTGCGTCAAGATGGATTGCAAGAAAACTAATCCTAGTTTCCTTTTTTGGAAATCTAATTTTTTAACATAATGATTATTATTATTATTTTATTGTATTAGTAGTAAATGAATTAACAAATTTATTTTTAATGAGTACATAGTGTTATGTTTACTGTTTATAGGTTCAATGTAAAAATGTTAAATTGATAATATTTTTAAAAAATAGTAAATTAACTTTTGAAATGAGACAATTGTTAATGGACACTTAGTTTGAGACTTATGGAATATATAATTACATGCACGCGATACTTTTGGATTCTTAGATTTTGTTTAAATTGCCAAGAACTTGAATCTAAACATCTGGTACTTCGATGGAGACCTCGTATTCTATATATATATATATATATAGTAGTATTTGTTAATTTAAGTTGCATCTGCATATTACTATTAATATTTTATAGAGGACAGTTCAAATATCAAATTAAGTCACTTGGGACCCATTAATTCGTCCATATGTTCTAGTTTAGTGGCATTATTGAGATATCTCCCTTTCAAAAGAAAAGGGTCCTTGTTATATGGTTCAAAATTCTTTTTTGACTGAGAGGAACACAAGTTAACTTATTTTGTTTGCCTAAAAAAATGTAGTGTTTATTATTTTCAAAATGAAAATGATGTTTTGTGCAATCAAAGAAAAATAAAAATGATTCTTATACTGCTAATCCTACTTTTTTAATTGATCAATTATGCAACAAATAAGGAAGTAGAACCTCTCACTTAGTTGTATTTGGTATAAATAGTCAATTAAAAATTATTGGGTTAGACAATTTACTGCAAGTATTTAGTGTGAATATCATTACTCAAAGAAAAAATAATTAGAAATCAGTCAAAAGAAGTTAATGAGAATTATATAAAGATTTTTTTTTCTTTTTTCCTTTTTTACATGAAACTCACGCATCCACAACCTCAATCTTTTTTCACACACACCATACTTACACATCCATTTTGTTTCTTTGAAAACTCAAAATTTTATTATCCATTTTAAGAAATAAAAGAGATATCATTGGATCACAAGATCCTTAATCCGGTA